ATGATGAGAGCATTGCCAAGGACACGTCCCTGAAGGACTCAGGCAGTGATCTCTCTCATCGCCCCAAGTGCTGTCACTTTCACGAAAGCTACAACTTCAATATGAAGTGTCTGACACCAGGCTATAACTATCTAGGACACCTTATAGGAAAACATGAGAGACATTTCTCCATCTTACGATACCCCCTCTATGATAACCTCTCAGCTGACAAATGCAAGATGAGAGCACAGAGCCGGGGTAAGCAGATAGAAGAAAGGATGCTGTCTCACAGGCAAGATGACAACAGGCCTGCAACCAGGCACCAGGCACCAACAGAGAGGCAGCTTCGATATAAGAAAAAAGTGCCTGAACTCAGGAGGAAAAGAAATTCTGGACTGAGCAAAGAACAGAAAGAGAAATAGATGGAAAACAGACAGACCTATGGGAACACACTGGAACCTCTCATAGAAAACCTGACAAGCCAGTATCACTTGGATCTTTTCCAAAGAGCACAAGCCCGGGCTTCAGAGGATTTGGAGAAGTTAAGGCTGCAAGGCCAAATCACAGAGGGAAGCAACATGATTAAAACAATTGCTTTTGGCCGCTATGAGCTTGATGCCTGATACCATTCTTGCTATCCTGAAGAATATGCATGGCTGGGACGTCTCTATATGTGTGAATTCTGTCTAAAATATATGGAAAGCCAAACGATACTCCACCAGCACATGGCCAAGTGTGTGTAGAAACACCCACCTGGTGATGAGATATATCGCAAAAGTTCAATCTCTGTGTTTGAAGTGGATGGCAAGAAAAACAAGATCTACTGCCAATACCTGTGCCTGTTTGCCAAACTTTTTCTGGACCACAAGACATTATATTACGATGTGGAACCCTTCCTGTTTTCTATGTTATAACAGAGGCGGACAACACTGGCTGTCACCTGGTTGAGTATTTTTCCAAGAAAAATAATTCATTCCTCAACTACAACGTATCTTGTATCCTTACCATGCCTCAGTACATGAGACAGGGCTGTGGCAAGATGCTCATTGATTTCAGTTATTTGCTTTCCAAAGTTGAAGAAAACGTTGGCTCCCCAGAACGTCCACTCTCAGATCTGGGGCTTATAAGCCATCACAGTTACTGGAAAGAAGTATTTCTCTGCTACCTGCACAATGTCCAAGGCAAAGAGATTTCTATCAAAGAAATCAGTCAGGAGACGGTTGTGAATCCCATGGACATTGTCAGTACTCTGCAAGCCCTTCAGATGCTCAAGTACTGGAAGGGAAAACACCTAGTTTTAAAGAGACAGGACCTGATTGATGAGTGGATAGCCATAGAGGCCAAAAGGTCCAATTCCAATAAAACCATGGATCCCACCTGCTTAAAATGGACCCCTCCCAAGGGCACTTAAAGTGAACCGTCTTTCTGAGCCAGCGAACCCCAGGAGTAGGAATCCGTACCCTAGGGATCTGTCTGTCATTTCTGTTGCTCTTGTGATTGGCAAGTGCCGTTTAGGAAGGCCATCCCCCTCAGGACTGTCCTGGCCCTGACCTTCATGTACACTGCAGACGCTGGTTCTAAGGAACTGTTGTTTCGGCCTCAGTGAGGTTGCCTGGATGGGATCTGTATTAGACTTGAGTGCAGATCTCTCAGCACTGACCCAAGGAGTTCTGTTATGGTACTGCACGTGTCCAGCCACTGGTTCTCTTCTCATGTCCTCTCACCCAGTGAAGTTGTGCTGTGTCTTCTAAGCATGGTACTAGTGCTTGCCACCTGGTCACCAGCCCTCCAAATATGGCTGCCACCACCAGGACCTTTCCAGTTACTCCTAATACATGTGTTCTATGGAGGGGCAGGGAAGAGGTGGTACTTGTGAGTGTGTGTGGATTAGGAAGGGGTCCATTCACTTTGGGCTATATCTTGCTTTAAATTTCTTTCCTCCATTTTGATTGAGAGACCTCTTTTTGATCAGTATTGGGCTAACCAGAGCCAAATACTTTTGAAGAGCTTCCCAGGGACTAGTCATGGTAACAGCATATAATTTATCTGAATGACATGGAGAGAAAAATGAAGTGGTGGTTCTGTGTTTGAGTTCACCTGTGGACAGTGGGCAGTGTCTTGGCAGAAGGGAATGGATACTTCTTTTTGCCTCACCAGAAAGGACCCACCAGTGAATGTTTCCTTCTCTCTTTACTCCCAGTCCCTTTGTACATTTGCAGGTGCCAAAGTCATATCCAGTTCACCCTTTCCTGCTACATGCTAACTGGTTAATTATACTGCAGAAACTTTTTCACCTGTACCAGTCCCAATGTACATCTGTACTTCCATATAAATTGCACTGATTTTGTCTGAATGCCCTGGGAAAAGTTGAAAATGATTCAAAATGCCTTCTGTATTTCAGCCCATGACTCAGCAAGGCAGAATGGCCGCCCCTGCCAAGGTTTGCTTCTCTTTTCAATGGTGCCTCACCCTCCCTCTGGGATTAAAGTGCTTCTGCCCTTCCATGAACTCCTCCTCCATTTCCTTTTTGGGATTCATACCATCCTTCTATTCTCTGGTCTTCTATTTTTGGTGTTGTTCAAGTGAAGGAAGAGATGCTTCCTTTAATTTCTCTCTAGCCCATTATAATCTGCTATCTTGGGGCAACTTTTGATGTATGACATGTCACCCTTCCCAACTTGGTCTCCTGCAACATGCTGTCTTCATGTGGAGCCCTCACCACAATCCCTGATTCTGGTCATTTGTGCCTTTGTCTTGTCATTTCTGTATACTACTTATATTCACTGTGGGTTGTGGGAGCTAATTTTAAGCATGTTCAGTGGCAGCTCCCCTCCAGTTTCAGTGTCACTGTTAAAATTTATCCAAAAGCAACTTCACTGGGAGTTTTCTTAAGGGGTAAATGCCTTTTACAGAAGCTAAACCCTTCCCCACATGTGGTAGAATGTGCTCTTCTATATCTACTCCTCAATAAAGCATGTTTTCTGCTCAAAAAAAAATACATAGATAGATAGATAGATAGATAGATAGATAGATAGATAGATAGATAGATAGATAAACAAGATATAATTTTAAAGTTTTAGAGGTGGTATTATTACTTAAAATTACTCAGTAATATTTACTACATGGATTCTCAGTTTTGAAAGAATTTAAACAAAATATGGCCATAGTTAAATCCTACTCCACATCAAAGAATCTTGTGGCTTATTTCTTCCAGGATTTTGCCCATGTTATCATTTCTAGTCATAGTCCCACTTCCTCTCATACAGCAACATACCATAAAACCTTCAATTATTTGCAAGTCAACCATAAATTCATGGTTTTTTTATGTCTTATGTATTTATAACCTCTATCACACAGGATAATACTTAATGTTTTCACCAATTTCTCCACATGTGTTAGTACTGTTTCCCAAAGTGGAGTTATCACTTTGTGGAATTATAAATTCCTTGAGGTTGAAAATTATGTATTTAAGTGGTATTATCTAACATTTAATAAAATCAAACGATGTACTATGTTCTATTTTAAGTGCTTTACCCTTATCAATGCATTTTATACTTACAACTGCCCTGCAAGGTATGTACCACAATTATCCCTGCTTTGCTGAATGAAAAACTGAGTTGAGGTTATGTAACTTGCACAGTCCATCAGCTAGTAAACATCAGAATGAAGGTTCAAACCCAGGCAGTCTGATTTCATAATCTATGTTCTTAATTTGCTATAATATCCTGCTGTACCATTTTCAAGCAAAAAGCTTCAGCTGTGCAAGAGAAATAGGTTCTAGAGATCTGTTGTACAACACTGCTGTCTATAGTTAACAATACAGTATTATATACTTAAAAGTTTGTTAAGAGGATATATTTCATGTTAGGTGCTCTTATCACAGTAAAAGATATGTAAATATATAGAGAAAAAGGGAAATATAGAAAATAAAAGTTTTTTAGTGATTTTTAATGATTTATTCATTTATTTTAAAAACTAGGTTTAATTAAACTATATGCTTATATTTTTTAATTACATAAACACATGAACCATGACCTAAAGCCTATTATTTGAGTTGGAAGAACATCTTAAGAATATTATATCCTGACCAAGAGCAGTGGCTCACACCTGTAATCCCAGCACTTTGGGAGGTTGAGGCAGGTGGATCACGAGGTTGAGAGTTCAAGACCAGCCTGGCCAACATGGTGAATCCCCATCTCTACTAAAAATACAAAAATTAGCTAGGTGTGGTGGCACACACCTGCAATTCCACCTACTTGGGAGGCTGAGGCAGGAGAATTGCTTGAACCCAGGAGAGAGAGGCTGTAGTGAGCCGAGATCACGATCATACCACTGCACTCCAGCCTGGGTGACAGAGCAAGACTTCATAAAAAAAAAATAAAATAAAATAAAATAAAAAATTACATCCTAGAACACTGACATTGGAAGAAGCTTCATATTTGTGATCCATAATGGCCTTCACACACATTCTTTTGGTTGTAAACAGTCCTTTTAAATCTTATCAGCTATTTAAACTCTCATTATGTACTTACTTTTTTATTTTCCTCAGCCAATATGGTTTCTGTATATAAAAAAACTCAAATATTGAAAGAATACTCTACATTTTCATCTACAAAATAAACATAAACGGTTTTATATACTCATGACTGAGTATATAAAACTCAGACTTAAGTCTTAGACTGTAGACTCTGGTTTTCTTGGTTGTCAAAACCTCCTAGCCTTTCACTTTAGTGAGAATTTTGCATTTTAATTGTCCTTTTAAGAAAATTCAATATATATTTCAATATCTACTTCTTACTAACACTTTAGTGACTCCAAAGGTAGAAAATTCAAAAGCTTGAAAGGTGAGATTAGATCTCAGCAATGTAAAATTGTGGACCCTTTATGGTAAGCACCACTGCACTGAAGGTAGGAAAAGAAGCTCATTTATTATATTCTACTTCATGTGTACAAACTCAGGTTAAATTGGCTTTGCCTGATACTAAAATATGAAAATGCGCCCGGCGACCCGGGCTTCTGTGAAACATGGCGGTAGGCTGGGGACATTATTCATCCCTTATATGACTATATGAAGGAAGAGGAAGGTTTTCCTGAAGATGAGGCGACTGAATCGGAAAAAAACTTTAAGTTTGGTAAAAGAGTTGGATGCCTTTCCGAAGGTTCCTGAGAGCTATGTAGAGACATCAGCTAGTGGAGGTACAGTTTCTCTAATAGCATTTACAACTATGGCTTTATTAACCATAATGGAATTCTCAGTATATCAAGATACATGGATGAAGTATGAATATGAAGTAGACAAGGATTTTTCTAGCAAATTGAGAATCAATATAGATATTACTGTTGCCATGAAGTGTCAATATGTTGGAGCAGATGTATTGGATTTAGCAGAAACAATGGTTGCATCTGCAGATGGTCTAGTTTATGAACCAACAGTATTTGATCTTTCACCACAGCAGAAAGAGTGGCAGAGGATGCTGCAGCTGATTCAGAGTAGGCTACAAGAAGAGCATTCACTTCAAGATGTGATATTTAAAAGTGCATCAACAGCTCTTCCACCAAGGGAAGATGATTCATCACAGTCTCCAGATGCATGCAGAATTCATGGTCATCTATATGTCAATAAAGTAGCAGGGAATTTTCACATAACAGTGGGCAAGGCAATTCCACATCCTCGCGGTCATGCACATTTGGCAGCACTAGTCAACCATGACTCTTACAACTTTTCTCATAGAATAGATCATTTGTCTTTTGGAGAGCTTGTTCCAGCAATTATTAATCCTTTAGATGGAACTGAAAAAATTGCTATAGATCACAACCAGATGTTCCAATATTTTATTACAGTTGTGCCAACAAAACTACATACATATAAAATATCAGCAGACACCCATCAGTTTTCTGTGACAGAGAGGGAACGTATCATTAACCATGCTGCAGGCAGCTATGGAGTCTCTGGGATATTTATGAAATATGATCTCAGTTCTCTTATGGTGACAGTCACTGAGGAGCATATGCCGTTCTGGCAGTTTTTTGTAAGACTCTGTGGAATTGTTGGAGGAATCTTTTCAACCACAGGCATGTTACATGGAATTGGAAAATTTATAATTGAAATAATTTGCTGTCGTTTCAGACTTGGATCCTATAAACCTGTCAATTCTGTTCCCTTTGAGGATGGCCACACAGACAACCACTTACCTCTTTTAGAAAATAATACACATTAACACCTCCCAAGTGAAGGAGAAAAACTTTTTGCCTGAGACATAAAACCTTTTTTTAATAATAAAATATTGTGCAATATATTCAAAGAAAAGAAAACACAAATGAGCAGGAAACATACTTATTTTAAAAAAGAGAAAAAAAGGAAAAAAAGAACACCAAACTGAAATTCTTATATTTGTTGTGTCTGTTACAAATGTCCTAGAAGAAATAATGCAGCTAAACAGTGAAGAAGCCCAACTGGAGTGTTGCTTTGAAGATGACGCCTTCTTAAATTTTCACACAAAATGGGCAGTATCGAAATCAGACTTGGATTCTTGGTGATAAAAAGCCTGAAGGAAATCAGTGAAACCACATCTATCTATGGGGGAAAAAAACATTGAGAAGTGCAAATGTTTGCATCCTTTTGTTTTTAAAAGATATGATGTCAGAATAAAATGTGGAAAACATAAAAAAAAAAAAAATGCTTCTGAGAAGCCAAATCCAAAACATTTTCCTTGATCCACCCAGAGCTCTGTTACTCCAGATAAATCTCAAGACAATTTCTAACTGCTCATTCATCTGCTTATTACTTCCCTTTTCTCTGCACTATTTGTAATCCCTTTATATAATCCTCTCCATGATAACTCTACTAAATCACAAGAATATATTTCTTTTCTAAATTACAAAAGCATAACTTAAATTTTATTAGATTCAAATAGAACACATGCTCAAGTGACATTTAAATTTGTATACCCAAGGAGTTGACCTTTACAGCTTCTCTTGATAGCTAGTCACTTGATCTAAGAAATGTTTTACATGTCACTAGCACTATCTTAGACATTTAACCTAATTAAATTATTCTTACAAAAAACTGTCCTTTTGGTGCAGAAAGTTATTTACAAAATGAAGTAAAAGTATGCCCTTGCCCCACTGCATTGCACTCTGGGTAAATAAAAATTAGCATATTTGTTTCTGAAAATTCACAACTGCTTTTGTTTAAGTGTTTTTTCACCTTCGTAACTTGAAAGAATAATGGTATCTTGAAGACACAGACAGTCATGAAAATTAAAGAATGAAAAATAATGTTTTACATCCCATTAAAAAACAGATTATTCTTTCTGCAACTCTGGCAAAGAATATTTCAAATTATTACTTAATTCTAGTCTCCCTTTAAAAAAAATTAAGGTTGGCCAAGATGGTCAAATAGGAACAGCTCCAGTCTGCAGTTTCCAGCAAGATCGCACCAGAAGACAAATGATCTCCACATTTCCAACTGAAGTACCAGGTTCATCTCATTGTGATTGGTTAGACAGTAGGAACAGCACAAGGTGGCGAGCTGAAGCAGGGTGGGGCATCACCTCACCGGGAAGGTGCAAGGAGCCAGAGAACACTCTTGCCCAGCCAAGAGAAGCCACTAGGGACTTTTCCGGACATTCCAGCACTCCGACTCAGATACTGTGTTTTTCCCACAGTCTACACAACCTGGAGATCAGGAAATTCCCTCTGGCACCTACAATGCCTGGGTTTCCAGCACAAAACTGGGTGGCTGCTTTAGACAAGTGGTACCTGGAATGCCAGAGAGACAAAACAGCTCATTCCCCTGAAAAAGGGGGCTGAAACCAGGGAGCCAAGTAAGCTGGCTAGGTTGGTCCCACCCCCACAAACACAAACAAGCTAAGATCCACTGGCTTGAAATTCTTGCAGCCAGCACAGTAGTTTGAGCTCGACCTGGGACTTTCAAGCTTGGTGCAGGGAGGGGGGCTTACCATTGCTGAGGCTTGGGTAGGTGATTTCAACACTGCCTGTGTAAACAAAGCCACCAGGAAGTTTACACAGGAAGGTTACAGAGCAACAGGGCAGAGCCCAACAAGGCAGCTCAGCAAGGCCTCTGCAGGCAGACTGTCAAGTAGATTCCCTTTTTGCTGGGCAGGGCATCTCTGAAAAAAAAGACAGCAACCCACCAGGGACTTACAAAGTTCCCACCTTCCCAGGGACAGAGTACCTTGGAAAAGGGGCGATTGTGGGTTTTGCTTCAGCAGACTTTAATATCCCTGCCCAGCAGCCCTGAAGGGAGCAACAGATCTCCTAGAACAGTGCATGAGTTCCATTAAGGGACAGGCTGCCTCCTCAAGTGGCTCCCGGACCCCCCCCACCACCTTGTGTCCTGACTGGAAGACACATCATACAGGAGAGTTTTGGCTGACATCTGGCAGATACCCTATTGGGACAAACCTACCAGAGGAAGAAACAGGCAGTAATCTTTGCTGTTCTGCAGCCCTGCAGGTGATTCCCAGGCAATCAGGGTCTGGAGTGGACCTCCAGCAAACTCCAGCGACCTGCAGTAGAGGGGCCTGACTGTTAGAAGCAAAACTAACAAACAGAAAGAAATAGCTTCAACATCAACAGAAAGGATGTCCAGTCAGAAATCCCATCCAGAATGCTGGGAAGATGGCCGCCTAAGAACAGCTCAGGACTTCAGCTCCCAGTGAAAGTGCAGAGGGTGAGTGGACGCCGCATTTCCAGACGAACTCTTATTGCCCACAGACCAGGAGATACCCAGGCAGAGGGGTCGCCAGCGTCGCAGTCCCAGCCGGTGCAACTGTTTTGGCCCCCGAGGGGCTGATTCCGCCCGCGCGGCTCCTGTGACCACTCCCTGTTGCTGCAGTTCTCCGTACAAAAGCCACTGGTCTGGGAGCCCTCTTAGCTGGCGAGCAGAGCCCTGAGACGGCAGAATAGCCCATTCATCTGAAATAGCGAGTCAGGCCAGGAGACTCCTAGGCAAAAAATCCACCAGGAGCCGGCGCCGCGGTTTGAGCCGACTCCGTGAGTCGCAGCACGGGAGATCCCGGCGCCTTTTCAACAAGCGACCGGAACACGGGGTCGTTCAACTTAAAAGAAAAGACTCTGAGTCAGGGAGCCAGGTGATCAGGCTCGGTTGGTCCCACCCCTCCACCCCCAACAACAACCAAAACAAAAACAGTAATTGGAAACCCTCTGGGTTGAGCCCTTCAAACCAAGCACAGCTGAACCGGGATGGTCCGGCTCCGTGGGGGAGGGGCTTCCGCCATTACTAAGACTCTCCACCGCTACGGAGGCAGGCTGCCGTTGCCGAGGCAACCCGCCGTTGCCGAGGCAACCTGCCACAACAGAGAGAGTCCGCCATAACAGAGGCGGTGCCACCATTGCCCAGACAATTCTAACTACGCCCATATAAAAAGGACTGCAGGGAAGAGCTCAGGGCAGCTAGATGGAGCCCACAGCAGCTCAGCAAAGCCCCTGCGGGCAGGCAGAGGCTAGGCGTGCTGCTAGCTGGGCGGGTCCGACCTGAAAGAAAAATCAAAAAAGGCAGTAGTGCAACGGAAACTCATAAAGCTCCAACTCCCTGGGACAGAGACAGACAACAGGTGGATAAACCCACAAAAATGGGTAGAAACCAGCGTAAAAAGGATGAAAACTCCCGAAACCAGAACACCTCTCCTCCTAAAAGTGATCACAACTCCTCACCAGCAAGGGAACCAGACCGGATGGAGAAGGAGGGTGATGAAATGACAGAATCAGACTTCAGAAGGTGGGTAGTAAGAAACTACAATGAGCTAAAAGAACATGTTCTAACCCATCGCAAAGAAAATAGGAACCTTGAAAAAAGATTGGACGAACTGCTGACGAGAATGGACAGCATAGAGAGGAGTATAAGTGAATTGATGGAGCTGAAAAACGCAACACGAGAACTTCGTGAAGCATGCACAAGCTTCAACAGCCGAATTGACCAAGCAGAAGAAAGGATATCAGAGGTCGAAGATCAACTCAATGAAATAAAAAGAGAAGGCAAGAACAGAGAAAAAAGCGCAAAAAGGAATGAACAAAATCGTCAAGAAATGTGGGACTATGTGAAAAGACCTAATCTACGTCTGATAGGTGTACCTGAATGTGATGAAGAGAATGAATCCAAGCTGGAAAATACTCTTCAGGATATTATCCAGGAAAACTTCCCTAACCTAGCAAGGCAGACCAATATTCAAATCCAGGAAATACAGAGAACACCACAAAGATATTCCTCAAGAAGAGCAACCCCAAGGCACATAATCATCAGATTCACCAGGGTTGAAATGAAAGAGAAAATGCTAAGGGCAGCCAGAGAGAAAGGTCGGGTTACCCACAAAGGGAAGCCCATTAGACTCACAGCAGATCTCTCAGCAGAAACCCTACAAGCCAGAAGAGACTGGGGGCCAATATTCAACATCCTTAAAGAAAAGAACTTTCAACCCAGAATCTCCTATCCAGCCAAACTAAGCTTCATAAGTGAAGGAAAAATAAAATCCTTTGTGAACAAGCAAGCACTCAGAGATTTCATCACCACCAAACCTGCTCTACAAGAACTCCTGAAAGAGGCTCTACACATATAAAGGAACAACCAGTACCAGCCACTCCAAAAACACACCAGATGGTAAAAAAAGCATCAACACAATCAAGAATCTGCATCAACTAACCAACAAAACAGCCGGGTAGCATCAAAATGACAGCATCAAATTCACACATAACAATACTATCCCTAAATGTCAATGGACTAAATGCCTCAATCAAAAGACACAGACTGGCAAATTGGATAAAAAGCCAAAACCCATCAGTGTGCTGTATCAAGGAAACCCATCTTACATGCAAGGATACACAAAGGCTCAAAATAAAGGGATGGAGGAAGATCTACCAAGCAAATGGAGAGCAAAAAAAAGCAGGAGTTGCAATTCTCATCTCTGATAAAATAGACTTGAAAGCAACAAAGATCAAAAGAGACAAAGAAGGACATTACATAATGGTAAAAGGATCACTGCAACAAGAAGAGCTAACGATCCTAAATATATACGCACCCAATACAGGAGCACCCAGATACATAAGGCAAGTTCTTAATGACTTACAAAGAGACTTAGACTCCCATACAATAATAGTGGGAGACTTTAACACCCCATTGTCAATATTAGACAGATCAACCAGACAGAAAATCAACAAGGATATCCAGGACCTGAATACAGACCTGGAACAAGCAAACCTAATAGACATTTACAGAACTCTCCACCCCAAATCCACAGAATATACATTCTTCTCAGCACCACATCACACCTACTCTAAAATTGACCACATAATTGGCAATAAATCACTCCTCAGCAAATGCAAAAGAACAGAAATCATAAAAAACAGTCTCTCAGACCACAGTGCAATCGAGTTAGAACTCAGAATGCAGAAACTAACTCAGAACCGCACAGCTTCATGGAAACTGAACAACTTGCTCTTGAATGTTGACTGGATAAACAATGAAATGAAGGCAGAAATAAAGATGTTCTTCGAAACCAATGAGAACGAAGACACAACATACCAGAATCTCTGGGACACATTTAAAGCAGTCTCTAGAGGAAAATATATAGCAATGAGTGCCCACATGAGAAGAAAGGAGAGATCTAAAATTGACACCCTATCAGCAAAATTG